TTCTCATGAGAGGTGAAAACACTTTTAAAGAATTCTTACTTGTACATTATATTCAAATTACTATAAAGACATCTTGTAAAAACTGATATATATGAGTAGTAAGAGATTTTAAGAAAATGTGCTCTTCTCTTTGGGGTTTTTTTTTTGGTACCGGGGATTGAACTCCGGTCCTTGCGCTTGCAAGGCAGGCCACTGAACCACAGAGCTAAATCCCCGGCCCCTTCTTTGGGTTTAATATAACTATGAGAAGATGCCTTTAAAATGTTTACAGATAAACTATATAGTAGTTGAACTTTGCAGCACCAGTACACCACAAAATAAATAATACTGTTTGTCATTGATGTTTTTAGAAATTAGTCAGCTGCTTTGATTTTGTTGTAATGGGTTTTTGATTTATTTTTATTGGATTAGTTATATTGAAATAAGCTGAAGTGTACACTTCATTTAGAACTTACTGTTTCTTCTAATGTATCTGAAATCTTAGGGTTGAATTTGTTTTGCATTTAACAAATGCTTCTCATTTAATATCACATTTTAAGCTCTTTTAGAAGATGTTAAGACTCAGTCTTAAAGTTACCTTCTGACAACGTACCATATTTTGTACACACAAAGCTGATGTTACCTAGTATGATTATTTTTAATAAGGTGAGAATTTGAGAGAACAACATTTTGGGTGCTGTTCTTGAGTGTTACACTGCTTTGGAGATGATGTTAATATGTCATGTTTATTTCATCACCTTCAGCAGTTTCTCAAGGTTCCTAAAGATAGAGGCTTAATTTCCTGAAAGGCAGATCCTAGCGATTACAAGTTTAACTTACAAATGGAGAAAGTTTTCAGAATTTGTAATGATGAAGCCAGCCACAGTGGGAAGCCAGCTACTTGAATGGATGACTGAGGCAGGAAGATCATTTGAGTGTGCAAGTTCAAATAATTAATATCACATTTTAAGCTCTTTTAGAAGATGTTAAGACTCAGTCTTAAAGTTACCTTCTGACAACGTACCATATTTTGTACACACAAAGCTGATGTTACCTAGTATGATTATTTTTAATAAGGTGAGAATTTGAGAGAACAACATTTTGGGTGCTGTTCTTGAGTGTTACACTGCTTTGGAGATGATGTTAATATGTCATGTTTATTTCATCACCTTCAGCAGTTTCTCAAGGTTCCTAAAGATAGAGGCTTAATTTCCTGAAAGGCAGATCCTAGCGATTACAAGTTTAACTTACAAATGGAGAGTGTTTTCAGAATTTGTAATGATGAAGCCAGCCACAGTGGGAAGCCAGCTACTTGAATGGATGACTGAGGCAGGAAGATCATTTGAGTGTGCAAGTTCAAATAAATCTGAATAATGTAGTGAAACCCTGTCTCAAAAAAAAAAAAAAAAGTATTGTGACGATGGCTATTGTACATTGATGAGGGCCACCATAACAAAATACTACAAGCTAGTGGCCAAAATCACTGAAACCCATTTTCTTGCAACATTGGAGGCTGTATATTCAAGATCAAGGTGTCTGCAGGGTTGGTTTCTTTGTCTGCTTGACTTGGAGGTGGGTGTCCTTTTCTCTGTGTACATACATCTCTTCTTATCAGGGACACCTGTTATATTGGATTAGCAGTGGTGGCAGAACTATGGTGCACATGCCGCAGTGGGCTGTTACCATTGAAAGCTCTAAAGTGTTCACCATCACTGGACTAGGGTCTACCCGAATGGCCTTATTTCACTTAAATGACTTGTTTAACAGCTCTTCCTCCCAAACCAGTCACATCCTGAGGTAACTTGCTCCTCTTCTACATGCGTACTCACTTTTTATTGGTGGTTATGATAGTATGAGTTTGTAGTCAAAAGGTGTAATTGCTCCACTGTACTGGAGACTCCAGCAGTATTGTCACAGTCTGTCTTAGTTTCAGCAAGACAATTTGAAAGCTTGCTGTCATAACCCAGTAGGCATCATGGCAGAGGATGAACTGTTACGTGGCTTCACAGTAGGTTGAAAACACACACTCAACGAACAAAATAATTTTAGATGATTCTTGTGTATAAAAGCTGTTATTTAGTGGGAATTGTAGTAGTCTATATATGATGGCAAAGCCTGGCTGCTCATAGGATGTCATTGGTTTATACCACAGTGAACAGTGACAGCCTGCATTGTACCTGGGGACTTGATAGCATATGATTTGAAATTAGCAATAAGACCTTCTCATGCTAAGAGTTCTTTATACTCATTTTGAGTTTTCCTCCTCCACTGATAGAAATTATTGAAGTCTAATATTTGAATAAAATGTCTGAATATAGAAGTTTATATACAGATGCCATTCTCATATGGTGTCAGTATTGTCACATTAAAATGAGGACATTATCCTGAAGGAGAAATTAACTGGTGTATAGAAGGCCTGGTCCTATATATATTATGTAATACTCTGTAAATAGGACTAATCTTCCCCCTCATTTTCCTTAAACATTCAAATTACTGAATAGTGTACACATACACAGGAGTGAAGAAAATTGGATATACTTTAAATATTTTGAATTAAAAAACATTAACTGTCAGCACTGTACCTTATTTACACTATACCTATTACAGAACTGTACCAAGCACTGTTGAAGTGTACTTGAACCCTCAGTCTTAGGTTATATGTGCTCATAGTTTTCTTTTTCTTAGCTAAGTTTTAATTAACTAATTGCCTTTCTCCCCTACAACCTTTTAAGGTCTGGCTGTATTATACTTGTTTTATCCATATCTGGATTGATTATAATACTGGATACTATTAGAAATATTCAAACATAGTCCTGGGTAAAACAGTAAGTTGGTCAGAAATTAGTGCTATAGTATAGTTTTTCTTCATAGTGTTTCCTTTTCACTTGTTGCCTGACATTAACTAGGCCCTTGTTTGGATATCACCCCAAATTAATACAAGTAACTGGAAATTTGAACTTCCCAAATAAGGGGCGCACAACACACTGTGCCAGACAGTGCTTGATTACTCTGGACCACCTGTGCAGGGATGTCTTCTCTTTACCACTGTTTTAATGTCTGTAAAGCGTGCCCTGGAGCACCGTGACCATTGGCATGGGTCTACAATGTTAGATACTTCCTAATACTGCATAGATCTCTCCTTCTCCCTTCTCTCCTTCTTCCCCCTCCCTTGTTCTGGGAATTGAACTCATGACCTTCTCACTGAGCTACTTTCCCAATCCTTTTTGAAAAATTTTTATTTGTGGGACAGAATCTTGCTAATTTGCTCAGGCTAGGATGGAATTTGTAATCATCCTGCCTCACTCTCCTAGTGTTCTGGGATTACAGGCATGTGCCACCATTCCGGGCTAGTCTTTATCTTTTTAAGACAGATGTCAGATCAATAAACTACCATTTCTGGGCAACCACCCTTTTATTAAGACCACAAGAAAAAGGTATTTACATTTTTAAGTGCCTAGGGGAAAGAATCAAAACGAAAATTTTGTGTCACAACAATTAAGAAGTTCCTGTTTCATTATATAAATAAGGTTTTATTACAGCTTAGCCACACTCATTTGTTGACATGTCATTGCTTTTATGCAATACAGCAGAAAGCCTAAAGTGTTTACTGCCTAGCTCTTCACAGAAAAGTTTGCTAACCTCTTTAAGTTGTTTTTGTGTGCAAGGATGAATAAGAACATTTAGATACCCATAAATAAATAATTCCATCTGTTTTCTTTTTTCCCCTTTTGTGTTCAAGGGTTAAGTATTCAGTAAGAGTTTCATTTTGAGTTTTGAGAACTCTAGTCCACCTTCTTTATCGTAAACATAACTAGAGTTTTAAAGCTTGAGTATTGTACATTAGATTTGAATATATATGTCAGATCTCCCAAAATGTATAGATAAGCCAGAGTAGATGACTTCTGGTTCTTCCCATTGAATGTTCTAAATTCATTTTCTTCCTAAATAACTAATACTCTTTTTTTTTTGGTACCAGGGATTGAATTCGGGTCCTTGCGCTTGTGAGGCAGGCAGCAGAACCACTGAGCTAAATCCCTGGCCCCTATAACTAATATTCTTGATCTTTAAAATTCATTACATTTTCTAGTTAAGGAGAATGAAAGAAACAATGTTATACTATTTCATATAATCATTAAAATAAGACACTGAAACCCTCATAACTTTTGATTCATTCTTGCCACATGTTATCTTTTTTTTGAAGATACATTTTTTTAGGATTTTATTGCTAATTACAGACTTAAAACTATGAAGTGCACTTTGCTTGGCAAGTTACACAAATGATTTCTTTTTTTCACCTTTCCAAGAAAAGCTTAAACAAATGCAAAGGACAAGAAAATATAGAAATGGCCAGTAGTTTCAAAACAAAAGGATTTAGTAACACAAAAGTCGCCACAGTGTCTGCCAGAAATTTAAAATGACACAAATGGTGCAGATGCTCAAATCAAGGTTGTACACAACTATTAGTGGCAAACAAAAAAGTCATCCACTTTTATGATCACACAAACCATCCACTTTGCTCAAAGATCAGCCATAGCAACAACATCCCTATATCCTTTATAAAATGAAAACTGGGACAGGTTCAAAAGGAAAACTTGCTTTGTTTGAATGCAGCTGTGCTCACAAACCTACATAAATTCTTAACCCGTAGTGGGTTTAGCCAGTCAGGAAAACGCAGATCAGAGCAGTGTCACACTGGCCACCTGAAGGTTTCCCTGCAGATACTGCAGTGCCTCTGCATTGAGGCCGGTGCTCACCTTCGATGGAACGCTTCCTGGACAGGCAGTCGACAATTTGTGAAGTGACTGCCACATGTCTTCTTGCAGGAAAATGGCACCAGCCATGTTTTGATGGTTGTGTAATCATTGTACTAACTCTGGAAGAAACCTTTTTAGGGCTTATTACTAGGCAATAAAGAACCTTCATTTAAAATCATTTAATATAATCAAATGCTTTTACAACATTGTTTACATTATGTTTGAAATATTTTACTGAGAAAATAATTAACTTTGTTTTATTTTTAGGGTTATATCCTGTGTTGTGACCTCATGGTTTAAGTGGGAATAAAGATGAGTATAAGCAGTGATGAGGTCAACTTCTTGGTATATAGATACTTGCAAGAGTCAGGTGAGTACTTTCATAAAGTAAATAGACCTCAAATTATTTTAACATTCTCAAAATAATCTTTTTATGCATTTGAAATTTGTATCAGTCCAAACTGTTGAACCTTGTATGTTTCCTTAATGTCTGGACTGCCATTTTAAAGCTATGTTTTACTGCATGGTTTAACTCTCTGACTCTTTCAAATATGTTGGATTCATCTCAGGCAAATATTTGTTAACACTTTGTCTTTCATTGTTCAAAGGCCACTTTTTAATGTTACTGAGTGAGATTATTACAGTTGTTTAGAAGGAACATATAAACCTCTCAGGTACTATCAATTTGATAATGTATATTCAGTAACTTCATTAATTTGTTATTGGTCCTATTCACTGTTAGCATTTCAAAGCTAAATTAAAAATGTTTTTTGGGAATGTTTTCATAAGTTATCCCAATTGACTAAATGTGTTGGCACTGATTATTGTATTTGGGATGATTATAAATACAGATCATCTATTTCATAACTACACCTCCTTATCTGGAAAGCCTGAATGATCACTGAGTTATATACTATTAATTGCAAAAGACCTTCGCCCTCTCAATTTATGATTTTGAGATTGGAATCATTCTTTCTACAGGACTTAGCTAGCTGTCCTTTCCTTTACAAGAAATGCAAACTTGGCTGTAGAGCTTGGATACCATTGCTTGCTGAGATGTTCCCTGCTGTACATGGGTTCTGAGTCTTTCTCTTTGGTGTGCATTGTCTTGTTCTCAAGAACCATCGCTGCTCCTCTCTGAATAGCTGAGATGATGTCCAACAAGATATGACAGGAAGGGAAACAAGAAACCAACCAACCAAGAAAAGCTTGTTACGAAGCTTTGAAATTAGTAGATCTTGGTAAACTGGTATGAAAGGCAGATTGAAAGGGGACCTCCGGCAAATACTGTTTTGAGTTGGATAAGATGATTATTAAAGTGAAAAACTACCAGAGCAGTGATTGCTACATGTATAACATATAAACTTATTAACTTTTCGCCAAAATAGAATTTTGCTGTTAAAAACACTGTGCTATTGGCCATGGTGTTGCACTACTGTAATCCTAGCGCTCAGGAGGTAGAGGCAAGGGGGTCACTTCAAGTTCAAGGTCAGACAGGGTTTACATAGTGAATCCAAGGCCAACTTTTCACTATATAAGGAGACCCTGTCTCAAAAAACAAACAAAAACAAAACTTTTTCTGCTTTTGAGTCTAATTACTTTTAAAGCACAGCTTTAGGCCATTGGCAAGTTGAAAGTATTGTGAGGATAGGTAATATGAAAGTTTATTGGTCTATCAGAACGCCTACTATTTAGGTTGAACCGTATAAAATTATTATTTTTGGAGATCACAGACAGTTGCACAATTGACCAATATCCTATGTTTTGTTCAGCATGTGTCCAGGTGAAATAGGGCAAGATGAGATCAGTGTTAGCACCCAAATTTTCCTGTTTTCAAACAAAAATGTACAAATTTATATTTTATTCTCTCACTCCCCCAAAAGTAAAAAGTAGCAGTAAAATTCTGGTTTTTAATTTCTGAAAAAAATTGATTAAACATTATCAAAAGTCTCCTTAAACTTCCTAATGTTCTCAGAGAAAAAGCCCTTCTAAATTGCTTATTTATATAATTTACACTAAAAATTAAGCCAGAATTATATATTTTTAAAAAATTGCATGATAGAGTGGTACACTTCATGTAAGTCCTTTATTGTTTACTACATTATTAGGTATGCTTTTTGTATTTCTTAGAAGTTTTTCATACTTTTAGTGTATTGGTGATGGTGTATGTCATTAAGTCACATCTCTTAAAAGAAAGGAAACACTGATCCCTTGATAAATACTGTAGCTTCCTATTTGCATTTTGACTTGTGGGGAAAAATCAGACACTACTGACAACATTTTTACTTATGGCAGTTTTTCTAGAAATACATATTGCCTTATATTTAAGAACTGCCTATATGAGAGTTCTAAAGTCTAATCCTGTGACCACTTAACATTAGAATCACTCGGGAAACATTGAGTGGGTTTCAGGAATGTGTGTCTTACAAATACCCTAGGTGATTCAAAGCCCTATACAGTTTAAAAGCCACTGATCTATATATTAGTTGTGGGACAATTAGGATTTGACAAGAAAGTCGACACCAGGTATGCAGCATTTTAAATAATATCTTGACAGAAAGACTTAATTAACTATTCAAGATGAAATACTGAGCATGAAATATACACACTGAGATTTGGAGTATGAAAAACTCCTCTAAAGAAGAGCTGCCACTAAAAGCCATGTATGTGTATTTGTGGGCAAGGTTTAGCAGGAATGATGAGGCATTTTTCCCCATAAAGGATGCCAAGAGTCATTCACTTCAAGTTACAGGAGACAGTAGTGTTTTAAGAATTTTATTCTGTGAACTCAGGACAGATTAAAGATAGAATCCAAAATTTCAACTGTATCAAATTCCCAGAGGGCTGTAATTCTGGGTACTTGCAATGTATTCTAAAATCCTTTTCTTGGTTCTGATTTCTAATTGCATATTGAAAAAGCCAGTTTTGCAATCAATTCTGATTTGGATTCAACTGATCTGGGTTCCTTCTCTGAGTTTTTCTGAGAATTCAGTGTATTCAACACCATATCTTACAAAGGATACTTGTTGAGCATAAGTCATTAAATACTTAAGAAATATGATATAAATTGTTTTTAGGTTGTAACTTTCTCTTGAAACATTTAAAGCAAGGCAAAATAAATTAGTCTTACTATGCTGCTGCCTTCTCTATGAAATAGCACTAAATTTGATTGACAGGTGAACGGAAAAGGAATGTTTGTCACAAAGGCTGTGTGCAGAGGTGTTCAGAGATCTGGTCTGTGAAGCCTACCTAAGGAAAATAAACTTTCCTGTTGCATTGTCTAAAGGTTCTCAGAGGGCTCAGAAACAACCTTCTGAAAGTTCTTTGTTGCTAAATACGTGGTTCAGAAATACAATTTTTCAGTAAGCACTTTTTAAACATTTGTTTTCTGCAATAATGTTGACTGCACTGTGGAATCCAGAGGGAATAAAATTAGTTCAATTGTCTTAATCTTAAGTATTTTATACTATTGTCAATTCTAGAAGATACTGTTTGTTTACCATCTCTGCTTTCCCCTGATCACACTTTTCAACACTTCATTTTCCATATCCAAAATTTGTTGCTTGTTGAAAAGGGGTTACATTGTGCTATTTATATTTAGCCTCGTGTTTAACAGACTTACTGTTTCAAATAAGGTATTCCCTGGTACATCAGAACTAATTAAGAAAAAAGTGTCCTTATCATTGGGCTTCTATTAAGTTTTGTAACTTTTTAGTTTTCTCAATTTTATCTCTAGAAAGTGGCCCTAAGCAAATTACTTTCATCTTCACCATTCTGCACTTTTATGATGTAGACTCCATTCAGCAAATATTTATTGGGAATAAAAATTTTTTTTCCCCTTTAAGATGACCTGACAATTGAGATTGAGGGGTAGCACTTTAAGTAGTGATTGGCTTAATTCACTTGCCTCCCTTTAATTTAATTAGTGTTCACCCAAGGGCATTAATTTGATTGTCCTAGTAACTCATTTAGCAAACATAGGCTGATAAGTACTTTGTGCTACTTGCTAAGTTATTTAGTAGAACCTAATAATTGTAGAGGAGCTGAGCTTGTTGTACCTAAGTTTTCCCTCTTAACACCCTTTCCCCTCTTGTGCATCACCGTTGACTCTTGTAGTCATTCAGAAGAAAGTGTTCTTGGTAATTATTTGTAAACATTCTAATACTTGTGAAGTTTTTTTATTTTGTTTTGTTTTGTTTTTTTGGTACCGGGGATCAAACTCAGGACCTTGGGCTTGCGAGGCAGGCTGCAGAATCACTGAGCTAAATCCCCGGCCCCTCTGGCACCTGTTTTTCTTTCTTTTTTTTTTTTTTTTCTTTGTGTAGGAAGATTTAATTTTATTTTTCTTAAATGTGCTTTTGATTTGGACACTTCATTCCTGGATTTTACTGTCATCTCTACATGTTTAAGAGCTCTATAATTTCTCTCTTGTTGATGTGTTTGACTGTTTGAAGCCCTGAAGCAGTTGCATCATGCAGTTGAATAAGTGAAAATTGCAAGACCAAATTGCTTTTATTATTAAAATAAATTACTTTCTAGATATTGTCACTTAAAAAATCTTCACAGTTTTAGAGCAGAAGTTCATCTTATATACAGTCACCATTTATTTGCAGGCAATGACATTTTATAGGTTCACATTGTTTGGTTCGTGAACGATTAGCTCCTGTCACCTTCATCTCATGTCCCTCCACTGTTCACTCTTCTAACCTTTTTAAAGAGAGATCAAGTCTTTCTGGATACAGGCCTACCCTACACCGTGTTAACGGAGGTGGCCTTTATTACTGCAAGTGCTGTATAGGTTGAGCATCTCTAATCTGCAAATCTGAAATCTAAGATACTCCAGAATCAGAAACTTAGTATGATGCAAGTAGAAAATTCTGTACTTCGCCTCACTCAGAATGCAAGGACACTAAAAATACTGTATAAAATTCTGTCCAGGCTGTGTATAAATATGAAAAGTATAAATGAATTTAGTATTGGTTACATCCCCAAGCTATTTTATTAGGTATATGGAAATATTCAAAATGCAAAGTCTGAAACACATCCAGGTCCAGACATTTCAGATAAAGAATACTTAGTCCTCCTCCAGTACAAAAAAAGAGAGAGGAAAAAAACCTTTGAAATCATGACCATAATAGGCACAAAGTTTCTAAAATGTGTAAAAAAATTAGGGTTTTGAACTATATTTTTTTTTTCTCATTTAATTATTATGTTAGTCTCTGTATTAGTTAATAAAATATCAGTAATCAAATGAAAGTGCTGTTTCGCTTCACTCAAATAAAAGATAGCAACCATTCCTTCCTATATACTTCACTTCCAGTGCCATTGAAACAGACTCTCAGTGAATTGGATGGAGTCAGGTTAACCTGGCAATTAGTAAAATGCCTAAAGCAATGAAGAACAGAAGTGAAGAGAGCTCAGAATTTGGTGTGTCTGCTTTGTTTTCTTGTAATTTTTATGAGTAGTAGGTAACTAGCCACAAGAGTAAGTAGGTACATAGCTTTGTTTTATAAAATGATATATGAAATAACTTAGAATTTGATACATATAGTTGTCAGACATTTGACCATTTAATAATAAAGAGCAAGCAATTGTCATAAATACTGTTAATTAAGGTATTATGGTTAAATTAGGTTTTTTTCTCATTTCATAAACAATAACCAGCTTTCACTAACAAATTTCCTTCTACACATTCCTGCGAATACAGTTATAAAGCACAAAGCCCCCTTTAAAAAGTTGCCAGAGAGCCAGGTTTGGTGACATATTCCTGTAATCTCAGCACTGGGGAGAGTGAGGCAGGAGGATCTCCACAAATTCAAGGCCAGCCTGAACTCCATAGCAAGACCCTGTCTCAACCTCCATCTCCAAAGTTGCTAAAGAGAGAACTTCATTAGTAATGTTATTTTATTTCTTTATTTCTACATGGAATTGCCAGTATAGTGAGGGTATAAACGTACAAATAAATTGCCAGTGATACAAATTTGCATAACTTTTAACAATTTGATAATCATATAAACTTCTTTTAAAATGCTCATGTCCCCTTTTCCTTTTGAGAGAATGTTTTCTAAGGAGGAAATAGATAAGCAAAAGCCTATTCATACAGATAATGGAGATAAGATTCTTGTAAAATAGCAAATACTGCAAACATCCAAAAAAAAAATCAAACTGTGGTATGACCAAATACATTTGCTGGCTTCATGTTATGATAGTACTGAAATTATTTTGGAAAGATACAATTCATATAAAAATTATTTTCCATTTCCAGGGTTAAACCCAGTGATCACTCATATGGTAGGCAGATGTTCCACCACTGAACCACTCCCATCTCATACTTATTTTTAAAGCAAAATTGTAGACCTGCTGTATAAATGCTGGGTCTAACTCTTCAGTTAGACTAAGATCCCCTGCAGCAGTGATGGAAACCTTTTAGTGCTTTCCATGATACACACAGCCCTCTGCAGCCTGCATGCTATATAGTTTTGCCACCACTGCCCTACAGCATTTTCCACCGACCTCCTGTTTCCTTTTCTAAAATCTAGATCTGAAGGCCAGCATTGGAAATAGATTAGGAAATAATCCAGTGTGTGCTAATGTGAACAGGAATGTAATTTTCTGTGCTTTTGTGACCCGAAGCTTAAGTGGGACCTCGAATACATGGGGATCTCTCCAGCCCACCATGTCTTCCAGGCTAGGACATTATGTTGTGTTCATAGTTAAGCCTTGCTTTCTAAAAGGCAGTTTCTCTTGCCTGACACAATTGTGTTGTTCAGAGTTCATTTTCTTACTCCTGTATTCTGTTGGCAATGTGGAGGTGGCATGTTCTAGAGGACTGGCTCCCCTTTGAGAACATGATCCCTTATATCCCAAAGGAAAGTGCTCCCTGAAAGAAGCAATATAGAAAATGATTTCATCATCTCTGAAGTAGCTGTGCATACCCATACCACATACTGAATTCACATACCCCTGCCACTGTCTCAATCACGAAACCACTTACTGAACTTAATGCTTTTTAGCCTGTTCCTCTTTAGAACCTCTCTTCTGCCTCCTAAATCTGGATTACTCTATTAGAAGTACTGTTCATTTCAGATTTGCTCTTACTCCTGAAAACAATGAATGCTGTTTTAGGTAGTCATGCTCAGTTTTAACAGTTTACAGATTTAAATGATCCCTTTTGCCTCCCGTATAAATTAGTCTTGTTCCTGAAAAAATACTTTCGAAAAAGTATTTACAGATAAATGAGTTTTCTTCCGGTATAAACTTGGTTCAAGTTTTGGTTATTTTTCAGGGAAGGTTGCATGTTTTTTCTGGAGTCACAAGCTTTCATGTATTCCAAAATATTTTACAGTAGAATTGCATTCTGGCTTATCAAATGATTACTGAGATGATCTGATAGTTTGTCAGACTTAAAATGTTACTGCTTTCCTTATACAGCTGAGTCTATTAGTCAGATATGTGTGTAAACTATAGGCACACAGATTAGAACTAGTGTGGTAATTGCCATACGTATCAAAATTACTGGATCAGCATAGGAAAGACTTACTCCACTGATTAGTGAAAGATAACTTGACCTCCATTCAGATAAGAGAAGAGAACAGGAATGAAGATGCAAGGCTCAGAGATGTGGGTAGAGAACAGCGTATTCAAGATGTAATTTGCTGTTAGTTAAATAGGGTATGTGGAATTGAGAGATGCTTAGGGCCAGAATAGAATATAAAAATAACTAGCATGATGCTTAGGAATTTGGCCTGAACTATGAAGATCAAGGAAATCATTAAAAGTATTTGAGGAAGAAGTGATATACTACACGATGAATGCTAGTGTTACACACACACACTATCCTAGCAGCAGCATGGCTCAGGGTACTGAAGTGCAGAAAGGGGGTCCGCAGTAATAGTCTATGCGAAGATGATGAGGACTAAACTCGGGTTAGGGTAGACAGTGACAGGTGATGGGAGAGTCTTAGGAGTGGAAGAGACTAGAATTTGGAGGTAGAATGATAGATTTGGCAAATGGTCAGATGTCAGGGACCAACAGGTGAGTTACTGTGACCGTGACTTCCAGTTAGAATGAAATGAGGTCGCACGTTTTTAAACAAAAAAGTCTTGGCGGGGGAGAAAAAAATAGATTTTAGCATAATGATTACTATAAGCCACCATGTAGTGCTGTGACTAGAAATAAAACCGTTAAACTGTATTTAGAATTTTACTTTTGAATTTGAACTAGACTTCTATAGAAAACAAAGCCAAAATAAAGAGATTTTTATTATTTGAGTGTTCTGGTTTTAATTATTTCAATTAAAAGTAAACAATTATTGATGGAAATCTAGAAATTGGATTTTCATTTGCAAGTTTTTTATTTACTAAAGTTTTCATTTAAATGAATTACTACTGGGTGGCAAAGAATTAGTTTTCTCCTAACATACTCAACTCATACATTCAGATGAGATCAAAGTGTTAGAATATCTTCTTTTTAAAATTTTCCCTTTGCCTTTTTTTCCTAACATAAAAAAGGCTGCAAAATATTAAAGGCGACAGTTTGTATGTAGAAATTTAAATATACTACAAAAATTAAACATCTCTTTATCTTGGCCTCAATTATCTTTAATGAAGCAGTTGAATCCCTGATTTCCAAAGGCTTTTTCAAATTTTTAAGTTCATTGTTTTTTGTTGAGGAAAGTTATATATCCCTGGAATTGTAAAGCCATATAATGCAGTAGATGAGAGAAATTTTAAGCAGAAGATTAGAGGAAAGAAAAATACGTAAAGGCTAACAAGTACAGATTTTCATACTTGCTTTGTTTAAAAACAGGATTTGTAATGATGTAATGTGATTTTGAAAAGTTAGGGATTTTTTTCATTTGTGTGATTTAGTATGTCTCCACTAGGAAACAGTTTCCACTAGAAATTCTCATACCTTTTCTTTTGCTTGTAGGATTTTCTCATTCAGCATTTACCTTTGGTATAGAAAGCCATATAAGTCAGTCTAATATAAATGGTGCACTTGTCCCACCTGCTGCATTGATCTCCATCATCCAGAAAGGTCTACAGTATGTAGAGGCAGAAGTTAGTATAAATGAGGTAAGGCTGGCTTGTTTTAAATATTAATCCTTACTCTTATGTATGTTGTTAAATTAGCTGTCTTGTCTTGTTTATTTGCTTATTTAGTATCTGCCTGTAACTTCACTAGGTTAACCCAAAATAAGGGTCACACAGGTGAGGCATTATCTGTAGCTTTTGTCCCCTAACATGTTTTCATAAGTAAGCACTAGGAAGTAATTTTCATGAACACAGCAGCATTGTGTGATGGAATGCTGAGGCCAAATTAATGCTTGAAAATTGGAAACTCATTATTACTTGAATATACTGTAATTTTGGAAGCCAATTTATAATTGAATGAACCCAACACTTGACACTAATATCTATCTAAGGTCCACATATAAATCATTTATTTCAGGTGTTCGGTGCACAGTACACCTGCTGCCTCATTTTGTAAACAAAGTTTGATTGGAACACAGCCACACTCATTTATTTACATACTGTCTGTGGCCGCTTACGGCAGAGTTGAGTAGTTGTGACAGAGACCTTATGGCCTGGGTAAAGTAATATTAAATGATCTTTTCCAGAAGTAGTTTGCAAACTTCTGTTTAACTTTAATTTTTCATGTATGCCCAGGACCCAGTTTCATTTGAAAGATTAACATCTTTGCCTTTGGCAAGAATTTTAACTGAAACACCTGTGGTTTCTGTAGCTACATTACTATAGTTATATAGTGTACTAAAATAGATTTTTTGATATCATTTTTATGACTGAAAAATCTACCAGTACTAAATTAAATATGTCTTCATGGTTTTATCACACTTTGTCTACAAAGCTTTTGTAGGTTCTGCCACTGGCCAGAGACAAAGTCTCATTTTAGTGGAAAATACGTTGTATAATACTCAGTAATATATCTTTGTGGTTTTACTTAAAAGTTAAAATATTTTCTCCTGTTTCTTTAATATTCCAATTGCTAATTAAGAAAGATGTGTTGTAATTTTTTAACTAAGCACACTGCATCACAACACTAGATTATCAACAGTACAAGCTCACCAGTCTTAAGTGAACCAGATTTTACTTGTTGTTGGCTGATTTGCATTGTTTCTGTTTCTGACTTGTTTTGTGCCTATAATCACTTCTTGTGCTCAGTGGAGAATTTTTTTAAATTAATGATGAGTTCCCTAATTTCATTAAATAGAGCTTTGGAAAATTTAGCAATTTCACAACATTAAAGAGCAATAACCTATGTTGTGATGGTACTTCTCAGACATCTGCTGTTGACTCATGCAGACAGCTTAGTAAACACTAGTTCCTGAGCCTCCCTTCAGAGATTTTGATTCCATAGGTTTGAACACGCCCCCCCCCACTGCACAGACCCGTGCTAGAGATGAAACCCAGGGGTGTATGCTAGGCAAGTGCTGTACCACTGGGCTTGCATCCCAATCCCTCCACCTTCATTTATAATAACTCACCAGGTCCTGCTCTGGTCCTGGGTTCATACTTTGGATAACAGTGAGTTAAGAGATCCCCGCTGTCATTGACTAGCTGTGTAACAAGCCTTTAAACCTTATTAAATGTCATTTCAACATTAGTAAAATGAGGTGATTATAATGGCATAATGCTTGAAGTCTTATTTCTGCTTTAATATTTTAATCAAATCTCAAAAAAATTAGGTCCAGCAAAACTATTGTGAAAGTTTTAGTATTTTAAAGAAGTACAGCTACTTCTTGATATGCTTGAGGATCGTTTCCATGACCTCTACCCCACGAAACCATAATTTGCAATGCTTACTTGAAATAGCATAGTATTTGCATGTTTTTGTGCAGTTTAAATTATCTCTCAATTACTCATAATACCTAGTATGATATAAATGCTATACAAGTAATTGTTATTCTGTATTATTTGTGACATAATGACAAAAAAGTCTGTAAGTACAGGTGCATTTTTCCCCCCTCAAGTATTTGTGATCTACAGTTGAGTCTGTAGGTTCAAACCTATGGATACAGAAGGCTGACTGTATTTATAATGTGGGGACAAGCCTCTTACTAGTGTATGGTTTATTCCTTTTGCGCTGTGGGTTTTGCTTAACAGAATTTCTAAATTAACCTTTATATCATGTGGGCCTACAATTTTTATCCTTTGTTTCTTGGTGGGGGCTTTCACAATACCCTCTTATATTTCAGTTGTATCTGTGCAACATTTAACCACATGAACTCAGCGAAGGGGAAAGTTTAGATAGCCACTTATAGTTAAGTAGGCTGTTGGAGTTTTTGTCTCCCATCTTTCTGAGTTCAGACAATTATCTAAAAATGTCTTTTTTGGAATGAAGATTTTCATTTCTGCTGTTGATTGAATACACGTAACACTAAATGTTGCCTTTGATTTTTCTTCTCATGATCTTCCAAATCCAGGATGGTACCTTGTTTGATGGTCGGCCCATAGAGTCTTTGTCCCTGATAGATGCCGTAATGCCTGATGTAGTACAAACAAGACAACAAGCTTACAGAGATAAGCTCGCACAGCAACAGGCGGCAGCTGCTGCAGCTGCCGCAGCTGCAACCAACCAACAAGGACCTGCAAAAAATGGAGAAAATACAGCAAATGGGGAAGAGAATGGAGCACATACTATAGCAAGTGAGCTAAGAATTTTTAAATCCTTTTTCAAGAGAATTATTTTGCTGTGCTGGAACATCTTTATCTTCTAAGCTAAAATAACTATCTGTTTCCTTTGCACCGATTTGTTTCCTAATTTGTATCATACAGTTGCAGATTTTTACTCCTAAAGCTAAGAAAAGTTAGCTTTACTTTATTAACTTTATTTTAAAAATATTTTGAAAGCCTTTTTCTATTGTTAAATGAATTTTTGCATTTGTGCTTTATTTCTAAATAAAATTCATAATACTCATTAGCAAATACAGTAAAGCTCTGATGTTGAGATATAAAGGTGACTGTAATGTTATATGAATGATATCAGCAGCCCCTACTGGCAGAAACTCAGAATGGTATTGCTACACATCAAATTTAATTCAGACCATTTTATCCATGTTTAGATCTAACCTTTTGTAGTCCTTTTCTTCCCTACTCTCACCCCTGCATCTCTTTGAATGTACTCATATGTATATTTTTAAAGATAATGCAACCATACTTAAGTTTAGAATTTATTTTCCACGTGATAAATACTGGGTAGTCATATTCATGTTATCTTGCTAGTGTTTTTGTTACATTATGTATATAAAGGAAAATATTTGCTCATTGAGACCCCCCCCCACCGTAATATTACCTAACTGGAGTTTCCCACTTGTTTCTCATGATGTAGATAATCATACGGATATGATGGAAGTAGATGGGGATGTTGAAATCCCTCCTAATAAAGCAGTTGTGTTACGGGGCCATGAATCTGAAGTTTTCATCTGTGCCTGGAACCCTGTTAGTGATCTTTTGGCATCAGGGTATGCTTCTCAACGTGATTCTAATGTGGTTTTTAAAAATATGATGAATTGTTGTTCATTATAAATACAGTGTGGATATGAGAAAATAAAAAAATGGAAAAAGTGTTTGTAAATGGGGAGG